GGCACCTCTTCTTGTCGTATTTCTTCCTTAAGCCCTAAACAGAGGGCAACCCCTCAGCGTGAAACTGTGGATAGCCTCTTTGCTCCCAAAGTGCGGCTGAGGCTGGTTGGGCATAGGGGGTTTATGTAGTGCCTTGCGGTTTGGGTGGGTTTTTTTGGAACCCTAAACCCCAAACCCCTAAACGTCTAACCCTAAACCCGAGTAGCTCGACGGTCGAGAAGAACTTGAAGCTCCAATCCCCAGAGATGACAGGCAGGGGATAGACCCTCCACGCTCATAGGAACCCTTGTGGCACCCCCTTGAATAGGTTTAGGGTTTAGGGTTTANNGGTTTGGGGCTTAGGGTTTATAGTACATTTTCGTAGTAGTGTACCCTTGATGGGCCTAAAGTCAAAGAGCCGAAGCCGGAGACACCACGTCAAGGCTCCGTTGACATGCCCGACTAAAGCTGCCAAGTGAACCCCCCCCCCCCCCCCCNNTAAACCCTAAAACCCCAAACCTGAAGCATACGCACCTCAACCCCAAACCTTAAATTCTCGCTCATCCTTCGTTGCGGTTCAGACCTAGGGAACCTCAGGGGGCAAAGAAAGTCTGAGGCTTGGTTTGCAAGGCTCCGATGGTTTAGCGTTTCGGTTTCTCAAAGGGTTCCTCCAGGGCTTCTATTGAGGGTTTGGGAGTAACAATAGAAGTAAACATCTTCCAGCCCAAAAGCAGAAGTTGTATCTCGGGCAGTTCGCGTTGCTTGGCGGATTTCGGTAGCATGCACGCGTTTCATGGAGCAGCGGCTGGCTTTAGTAAGTTGAACCACGGCTCAATTCGCTTCAGATTGCTCCTCAAGGCCTTCGTTGTACCCCAATACTCTTGCATTTGCTAGACGCAAAGCATTCCAGCCATAAGCCCGCCTTAGGGAGGGTCAGTGTTCAGGCAGGGAGGGCAAGCGGAAGGGGGACTGGGGGACAAGCCACAAGAGCTCAAACATGTCCCTATGAGCCTACAGTCAGAGCCAAAGCAGCAGCCAAAACCCCATCCAAACCCGGGCGGAACAATATACAATTCTGTACTATACAACTTCTCACAACCCTAGAGCATGCGAATATGACCTTGCAGTGTTGGGTCAGAACACGACGCCTCGACAAGCTTCGTGACATTGTCGGTCTGGAACCACCGGGTAGATTCCTCTACCTGCTTGAGTTTAATTTTTGCCGAAAAAGGATTCTAAACTCTAAACCCTGACCCTTCAAGACATCGTCCACCAACACCCCAAGGATCTTCCGTTTAAAGTCCCTCACTATGGTCCCTCATTATGGAAGCCTAGGAAGGCCCAATCTTCACCATGACAATCATTTATGGTACTTAAAGGACAATGGGACTTAGTAAGTAGGGTTA